GTAGTATGGTCATTTTTACATCTTGTTCTGTCCAGTTCTATTGTTACCAAACAGTTTCAGACAACTTGTTATGTTCTCTTCAGTCTTACCAAACGCTATAAAGATTATTTGTCCTGTCCAGTACAGTCTTGTTCAGTCCAGTCCTGTCCAGTTCTGTTCCATCCAGTTCTTCTGCCAAACGGTACCTTAATGTTTTATCGTCCATTTTATTTTGATAGGTTACCCAAATTTTTGCCCACCAGGCCACCACCAATACCACTCCCAATATTTTTCTCCTTATTGTAGATTTATTATCTTTATTAATCAACTTTGTTGAGGAATCAAATGTGGAATCCAATTCATGGAACGAACCAAAATAATATATATATATATATATATATATATATATATATAATTTTTTTTTCCATAAGCATGACATCTGATAATTTTGGCTTAATTAATCCATGAGATCTACTTAAAAGTTTTAAAGAGAATAATTAAGATCTAGGAGTTTATAAGGCTGGAGGGAGTGGTGCCACCGAAACCACACTCCCTCCTATGCCACGTAGACGTCAACTCAGATTTTTTCTTATTTCATCAACTAGAAACCGCAATGGGGGAGTGGGAAAAAGGTTAGGAGAGAGAAAAGAAAAAAGAAAAGAAAGAAGATAATTGATTGAGAGAGAGAGAGAGAGAGAGAGAGAGAGAGAGAGAGAGCAAGTAAAAGAGGAGAAAGAGAAAAGGGAGTGCGGCCATGGACTACCGCACTGCGGCCAAAACCGCACAGAACTGCAGCCTGGGGCGGTGTGCGCGGTTGAGGTGGCACAAACCGCAGCCACACCCTCTAGCCTAACATTACTACTTTACGATTTGTTAGAAGACACAAAAAAACCTCCTTTATGTTTGTTTATTCCGTTGGTTCTAGTAAAATACATTGTGTTGCTTTTATTAGTTAATTAGATGTTGGAGCGGAGTTTATTAATATGAATTGGAAATAATGGAATGGAATTTGTTAAGGTTAAAAAGATATTTATTATTTAAGTATTTTAAGATGGAATGTTGAAATCCATTTGTCAAAAGATTACATAAATTCCATACTCATTTGCAAACAAGGCATGAAACTGAATTTGAATTTGAATTTGAATTCCAATGCCAATTCCAATTCCAATTCCAATTCCAATTCCATCTAAATCCCACAAATCTAGCACACAAAGATCAACAAATGAATCATGATTCACACTAGAAATTATATGCAAAACACATCACAATTCACAACCTAAAAAACAGCCAAAAAAAATTATCGTGTAGAAGCAAAAATTGTTTTACTAGCTCCTAAACTGTGAGTCAGATCAGATGTAGTAGTTGAAATCCTTGGTATTTCATGCGGATTTCCAACAAGAAATGGCATAAATGATTCGACCTTTCCATCCCTGTAAAAGCCAATCATTATCAAAATCTATCAAGAAATCCTTATGATACAATCCCACTTTCTGTCTTGCCAATTTCATAATCGCTCGTGAAAAAGGAACAGAAACAAACCCTGCTCTCAAATTACGAACATGCCACTGTTTATACGTTTCGGGTCTTTCAATCCTCTCCCAGCCTTCACATGCTACAACATTCATAATTTCTCTTCCAAACAACTCCCTTTCTAGAAGCTTCCTTTCAGGTCGCTCACGTGGCACATTCGTTTCAAGCATATCAAACAAAGCCGAGAAATGGAAAAGCGCTTCCCTAAATCGGGTCACAAAAAACGGGGCGTTATATGACCCGTTTAAAATCCCATGGATAAACGCATTCGGATTTATCTTCTTTACCAGATTCAAAACAACGTTTCTAGCACTATCCACTCCAACAGTTTCATCGAGCAAATTTTTGGATCGATACATACAATTCACCACTAAAAACTCACCTGTTTCGATTTTTAAATCCTCAATATTCACACACTCCCATCGTTTTGCAATTGGGGTATACTCGAATGGAACTTTGAAGTGATTAGCGTACTCTTTTAACCTAGCGCCAGTCTCTTCGATTGTTTCTGCTGGACGGAATCCCGGTTGTGGAAATTCAATTCCGGTTAATCTCACACTTGGGGGCCCACCGGGTCTCTGTGAAACACGTTGTATGAAAGTGGGCCATTGGAATCCATACAGGATTCCAAAATCAATGATGTGTATCCTTGTTGCGTTTAGAGCCATATCTTGAATTGTCCTGTTTGATGCATAATTTGAAATCTTTCTAAAAGGGGAAGACGCAACGTAGAGATGGTATGCTTTAATGTAATCACCAGCGGATGTTTTCTTGCTGACTAGACCTCTATGAATCTGGCTACCAGTGCCAGCTAAGCGTGCTTCAAGACCATTAGCGAAACAATGAGCTAACCTTTGATTCCCATCGCCAAAAGGCGAAGCGTGTTGTTTGATTTGTTTCAGAAGCTCACTTGCATTCCTTCTGTCATCTGCAGCAACAGCTTGTGCACAAGTCACTAATAGGCTTCTTAAATCTATCACTTCCTTTTTGTTTTGTTTCTTACGAACACCTTTCCTTCGGCTTCTTGTTAGACATTTTGGTTCTTTGTCTTTGAGTTTGTCTTTGCTTGTTTCGGTTTGCAGGGTGTTGCGAAACATGCGTAAAGCTACATCACCTTCTCCCATGGAATTCAGGAGCATTAAGTCAATCTCTTTGGTTCTTACAGTATAATCTCCATAGATTGCAGCCTGCTTGATACTCCTTTCTTCGGTCCCTATATCAGAAGGGATTTTCCTCACCCTTGTTGGAATTGTTCTCAGTTCATCACTTTCAGTATCCTGAGATTTGGGGAAAAATGCATATGCATCACCTCCATTGAAATCAGCTAACAGTCTGTTGTTACTAGGAAGAAACTTATTGGCTTCTTCTACACCCTTGTTAAAGTTCATCGTCATTGTCATTTGATTCTCATCACAAATCTCAGAGACCTGAAAAGTGGTTGGAGGAGAATCTACATCGATTATGTTATTTCCACTGTTTGATGAACTTAGTGATGTACATGGTACATTACGATCACCAAGATTTCGTAGATTTGAGTCATGATGTAAGTAATCAATACTACCATTAGTGTATTTACCAAGATATGTATTGTTATGATGTGATAAAGGACTATCATGGGGGCTCTGTATATACTGGTCAACAGAAAACAAACCTTCATCATAGGATAAGGATGTTGATGGAGGGTACTTTTCGCCAAGGACATCATAGAAAGACTTCTCCGCAGCTTGAAGATCTGAAGACTCGTAAAGCAGACAAGACTTGTCCTCCATATCTTCTTCCATAAGCACCTGACTGATATATCCCAAGATCGCATCCGACAGATCGCAATCTTCATGAAGCTCGTCATCCAGACTCGAAGTGACAACCGGCGACGAGGAATTGGTTGGAGGATCAAATTGTATACCTCTGAAATTGAGTTGATTCTGGTACGCATTCGCGTAATTGGTGGGATTATAGATCGAAAACGTATTGTCGAAGCGGGGGCGAGTATCTAGGGCTTTTTCATCAGGTAATACGGCAATACTTTGATTCCCGAATTGAAAACCATTTCCATTCGCCAAACTACCAAATCTACCAGGTCCTGGATCCATTCACATCAACTGGATAAAAATGGATGTTGGATTCAAAAGCTCTGGACACGATCAAGTGTGAGATAGACGGTGTTGAAGCTGTGGATGCACATCATTCACAGAGAAACAGTATCAGTAGTCGAATAAAATGAAGTATGTGCAGCACTGCAAAGAGTAACTGGTTTGATGGAAACGAAATTGGATTCAACAGAGAGAGGGAGAGAGATGTTTCCTTTGAGGAGAAAAAGCAGATATGGTGCATTGAGCATTGAACTTTGAACATTGACCACCAACATTCATATATGAAGCTGCTCAATCGTCCCTAATGACGTCACAGAATGAGGTCAACTATCGGAGCCAACGTTGAACCATGTAATGTAACAAAAAAATATATAGTATTATTGAAGATATCATATGTGTTCAAAAGAAATTGAGGGTTGGGATTTGGGAAATGGAAAATTGAATAATAAGGGGAAAAAATGAAAATGGGCAAAGGGATAATTACAAATTTTAAAATATTAAATATGTATCATATGGACGATTAAAAACAAAAAACGTCAACAATTGTGCTATAGATTTTTTATTTTTTGGCTGTTGATAATCGTTGAGACACATGTCGATATACTAGACAAAACACATGAAGGGGTGTTTGACTTATCTTTTGAGAGACCAAAAGTCATTTTAAGAAAAGATAAAAGTCATTTTAAAAAAAGATAAAAGGTAAAAGATGTTTGGTAAATTTTAAAAACTACTTTTGAATTTTGGATATAAGAAAAACTGACTTTTTGGAAAAGTCAAAAAAACCGACTTTTTACAACTTTTTCAAAAAAGACTTTTGGTCTCTCAAAAGATAAGTCAAACACCCCCAAATATATTGACCGGAGTTTATTAGATTTTAGAGAGGAAATATATTCTATTGCATTGATATTGATCGTGGGAATTAAGTTCTAAGGAAAAAATAATACTAAAATCGCATTAGTATCTTTACAAAGATGAGCCTCTCCCCACAACCGCGAAATAAATGCTAGTAGCTAGAGGATGAAAATGTTAACTTGCGAATAAACATAAACTAAGAAATCTTGTACAATTAAGAAACCTTCAAACTTAACCAAGTGCATATAGTATTTTTCTATTTTCAATTTTAGGCAAGATTATTGAATTTTCTTCAGAAAAGTAACCAAAATCAGAAAAGACTTTATTTTTGCTATATAATATTTTTCTTAAACTGGTGTTTTTTTTTTTTTTCTTATTTTTAAACCGTATTTGTTTTAAAAAATCTCTATCAGCTTAAGACTTTATTTTTGCTATATAATATTTTTTTAGCATTTTATATATATATATATATATATATATATATATATATATATATATATATATATATATATATATATAAAGGCTTTTTATTTTTAAAACAAGACTATGAATTCTAAAGAGATGTTTTCTGGCCACTTCTTGTTGTGCCACGCAAACAAATGCAACATTTGTTATTTCGCAGTTGTTTGTTTTTTTTTTTAACTTTTGACTTAAAATTGTTGTGTGTGTGTTGTGCGACGCAACACTGGACCCTTCTCTTCAAACATTTTCTTACATTTATTTAAGTTATATTATTCAACATAGATTTGTTTTATTTTTTTCAACATGTTTATTATTTTAATAATATTATGAAATATATTATAAACAATTTAAGTATATTTTACATAATTTCAAACCGTTTGCTAATTTCATATGAATATTTTTTGTGTTACATTGTCTTTAACCAAATATTAACAAATTATAAAGTTAGTCACTAAAGTTACCAAATCTGTTGAAGCAAACCGAAGAAATAACCAAATCTGTTAAAGTTACCCACCTTCATTTTCCTCATCGATCTTCAACAGTACCGGATCCAAGATGAAAGTTAACGGGGGCCATTATATTTTAAAAAAACATATAAAGGTTTCAAACTCTAAAAAAAATGGGAATTTGTAGGTTTCTATAGCAAAAAAAAAATGTTAAAGTGATGATTTTTCTTCAAAAAATTGGTGCCAAAGGGAGGAGGGGGGTTGTCAAAAATGAATTTTTAAAGGTAATTGTAGCAATATAATGATGGGATCCACTTTCTAGTGAGATGCGTAGACCCCACTCCTAACATGCTGTCTCCGCCACTTCTTCAAACCATCGAACTTATACTTACAATAAAAAAAAAACCTACACACAGTAGTTGAAACCCAAAGAAATTATTACCCAAATCTCCCTAACTTTATAAAGTGTTTGATTGTATGCAATCTCTCATGCGGAGCACATATGACATCCTCATCTACACTTGTCTCCAACACTACATAGATATCAGAGTCTTATGTACACTTGAGTAAAGAATAATCAAAGCTTATTTTATACAGATATTTCAAGCCTCCGGGTTATACATATGTTTAATTCTTAACAGATAGATGAAGAATTATGGAATTTATTATTTCGGTAAGATAAAGGGTGGGTGGTTAGAAGCTAAGATAAGAGTGTTTCAATTATTATAAATATATATTGTTATTAATGTGGTTGTATTATCTTATAAAATTAATCCCAATATATTGTAACATGGGTACGAATGTAGTCAGAGAGATGTGCACTAAGTGCACGGTGGACAATTGTGTCACTTGTTTTTTAATTCTTATCGGATAGTGATTGGGGTTGTTATGTGTCTCACCATGTTGGTTGGCCAGATATTACAATACCATGTTGGATGTTGATTGTATGAGGTTACTTATTTCACTGATAATATTATTATTATTATTATTATTATTATTATTATTATTATTATATATTCTTTAATTTTTTTATTGTTGAACAGGTCAACATAGTTGGGTACTAGGCTAGTTATGTCTAGACAACATGACTTTAAAAATATATGACAATTTTGTTTCAGAAGGCAGTTCTGTGTGGCTTGAATGTGAAGGGAAATTTCAGAAATTTAAAGATGAAGTCGCTAAAATTCTAAATGGCATTAACTACTGGACATTTAGTGTGACAATTTGTTGTTATAAAATTTGTTTTGATTGAGGGGTGCAACAACAAGCACTATTAGGAGATTGTGGTGTATTTGTTTGTTTTTAGAACAATTGGTGTATAATAGCCGTCATGACTTTTCGATTTATGATGAATTATATTTATTAGGGGTCTTTTGCAAATCCGTTTTATTACAATAATTTGTTATTTCAAGCATTTATATGTGTAACACATAAGTGTAATATATAGTTTAATATTTGTGTTGAGTACTTAGGTTGGTGGGTGTGGTTCGGTAGAAAGCTCGACAAAGCTGACGTGGCTTCGGCGAACACAGCACCGTGACCGTGGCAAAGATAGCAGTCAGAGTCAGTACGCTTTCTATTCTCTTTCGAAGTGGCAAACGCAATTCTGCACTATAACTCCCTCATCGGCATAGATTTGAATTGAAAGTTTCAATATTGGTCCCTGAGAATTCTCTTTTGCTACACCTTATACCCCAAACTTAAAATAAAAAATATTATGTATGCCCTTCAACTTTATAAAAAATGATATTTAGATTTATTCCCTTTCATTTAATGTTTAATACTCTTTATTAATTTAAATAAATCCCTTCTATTTAAATTAATTATTATTATATCCCAAAAGTATAAGTTAATTATTATAATACTATTTAGTTATAAAATAATTTGTTTAAATTAATTATTCTTAATAAATTTAATTTACAAAAAAAAAAGTAAAAAAAATGGCAAGTATGACAACCCACGTCTTCTAAATGGCAAGTGTGGCAAGCAGTGTGACAAATATGATGTGACGCTGATATTGAAAGTAAAAAGTGTGACATCATACCCACCGGCCTTAGTATGTGTATTATATATTTGCCTTGATTACCTAGTATATTTTTATGAAACAAAAAACTGAAAACATTCATACGACCGTTTTTTATTTTCATAACTTAAACCAAATTTATATAAAATAATAGAATAACATTGCAAGCCTATAACCAAAACCAAAATATACAAACTAAACATTCACTGATTACAAACTTAATTTCCAGACCATTTCACAAATGACGTCGTCATTTTATAGATGATGTCAATTCATCTACAAAATGGTTAAATGATACAAATCATCGATTTCACAAAAGACGTCATTATTTCCAACTTGATGCCTATTTTGAAGATTTGACAAAATTATTGAAAATTGTTTTAATAGGATTAGACATATTTGTCTTTCTCTATAAGTTAATCGGTTGTTTCTAAAATGTTAATTATTTATTAAAAAAATCCGCAAAATTACACAAAGAGAATGTGTTTGTCAACCCTATGTCCCTATCTACAAAAAGTTGCCCATTTTGATTCTTCTATTTTGACACCTTCACTAATCAGTAATATCACCAATTGAAAGAGATGAGAATTGAACTAAACATTACATGTTTCTTGATATCTGTAAAACTGTTAGCTAATGATTGTAAAATAGTGCCCGTGCTAAGATTTGTATCCAAGACCTTTCTTATGAGTGTATCATATTCAAACAACAAAAAAAAAACATTCAAGCATTATTTATTACAATTAATTATCTAATATCATATAATCATTTTCTACATAACATCACTCCCCATGATGTGAACCTCTCTACCTTCACAAGAACTAACGTTACAGGTTGTCAGAAGGCTCAGTCATGTGCATCTCTACGATGCCACTAGGTTTTATACTAGAAATCAAATCAACAGTCAAGTACCTGTTTATAATTACCAATACAAAACACAAAATCATAATTGGGAATGCGGATGACATCAAATTTTGCTAGATATCGGACTATGTTGTTGCTGTTGCAGAAGCTTCATCAATGGCCAAAAAATATCCAATCTGTGAAATCCCCTTGGAGCCTGCATATATATAAAATTATATATCACCTTCCAAAATCAAATCATAATCTATCGTATACTGGACAGGACAAACCAAGTTGTACTGTGTTTGGATTGCATTGGACTGGGACCGACAGTCTGACGCGGATGTCAATGAGACAAAAATTGCAATTTTTTGTCCCACTCGAAAAGGTGGGATAGGGACTCGCTCTCGATCTCTCGTATGTGCAAAAGACGTAAATGCCCTCCTCGTCCTCATTTTCAGAAATAGTCCTAGAAAGTAGTATTGTCCTCACACACACAGGACTGGATAAGCTTCCTAGGGCTATTATCAACTAGGAGGATGAAGAGGGCATTCACGTTTTTTGTACATCCCACCTTTTCGAGTGGGACAAAAAATTGCAATTTTTGTCTGATTAACATCCGTGTCAGACTGTCCGTCTCAGTCCAATGCATACCAAACACAGTACAACTTGTCATGTCATGTCATATCAAGTCCGGTTTAATTTAAATGGAAAGTCATAATTTTAAAATTAAAAGAAAGGTCATGCCTCAACAATGTAGCGGGCCCACGTGTTGTCCGAACGCCTCTGAGTCCCGCCGTTTAAAATTGTGAGGTCCAGGCCATGTATCACCTCAGCAATCTCAAGGAATCGACTACTCTCATCACATATCATCTGTTATAAAAAAATATTTGTAAATTTGTGAATTTATGTCAAAAATATTTTCAACTATTTTGTGTGCCAAAAGTATATGTAAATTTGTATCTTAAGAAGTGCAAATATATGAACCTCTATAATCATGTGACCAGGGTATTGAAGATCTTCAACAATTATTGGGCATACTTTCAGATCACCTCCCAATTCAAATGCCCAACTTGCCCCATTTTTACCACCTTTTTCTTCAGATGTTATATCATTTGTCTGAATGCTTCCCTCACCCTGAAGATCATCCACTCATTAGATTGTGTGCATTAAATATTTTATTATGCAACAAGATATGAATACAAAAATATATATAAATATTAATAGACTTACCTCTGGTTGAACACACTGCCTCAACTTGCTAGCACGATCACCAACACTTTTTAAAAAGAGCATGTGTTTTACTGTTCTATCCAACAGACCATCAATGCTACACTGAAATTTAAATGAAATTAGGATATGACACAGAAGGGCAATTTAGTAATTTAAAGAAGAAGAAGAACCTTTGCTCCATCTGGAACAAGTTCCCGCAAGTCCTTGAGCCGATCCTGAATCAATTGTCTGTCTCGAGGTCTAGCTTTCTGTTTAGAACCCGGTTTCCCCCTTTTTTTATTGGCAATTGACGGTTTTGCCCCTTTACTCTTTTGCTCTTCTTCCTCTTTCACTACATCACCTACACCCTCATATGAAATAGCAGAAGGTGAACAACTATCATTATGACTTGTCACCCTGCTCAAAACCCCGGGGACTAAATGGTCATTAATAAATACTGAACTCTCTCCCTCAAATCCACCATTTTCGTTTTCATTTATATTTTTTCTTTTTGTCAAAGAAGTAAATTGGCCAAATGAATTACTAAGTGAACTTTCACCACTCGTTTGGATACAAGGATTCATATTTCCCAAAAGACTTTCCACATTCTCATTGTAAAAAACCATTCCATTGGTTTTACTTTTACTTTTACTTTCACTTTTACTATCATCACCAATGGAAAGATTCTGGAAAGAATCATCCGTGGGCCCCATGAAAGCGGGCCCGAGAGCTTTATGCAGCTCACATTCTTTAGGGAAGCTTAAGAACGGGCCCACATCACTGATTATAGGTCCATTGTGGTTTGACCAGTTGACTTCGTCAGAACTCTTGTTGTTGTTCTCCATGAATGATGGGAACTCATTGAAGCTTTGCATCATGAATGATGATGATGATTGAGATGGAAATGGAAATTGTTGGTTTGTTGAAAAGGTATCAGAATAACTCATGAAATCTTGATGTGTGAAAAATTCGTTTTTGATATAGTTGGACATTTGTGCATCCTCAGGAAGCTGGAAGATTCATTGTAGATTAGATCAATAGATGAAAGTGTATATATAATAAGGTGCCAGCTGGCAGAAATTAACATGACATGAAGGAATGAATGAATACATACGTGTTGTAATGACCCGAGTTGTAGAACTCCATGTGGAGTAACAGGCAAAAGTAAAATAGTCTGCAGGGTAGAAATCAAGAAATTATCAGTAAAAAAAAAAGTAAAGAATTGAAAGCACAAAAATAGTCAATAATGAATACCTTGACACCTGCAGCAAACTGAAATAACCATTCATCTGGATGCTGCCAATGGAAGGGTAAAATGGTAAATTTAGTACTAAATTTACTTTTGGTAATTCATGACTTGGAGTTTGAAACTCACCTCAGGAACTGGAGTGTTTGCATAAATCCAGTGAGAGTTCCCTGTATATGCTACATCACCAACAACCCTACAAGTGGTTCACATTAACTTTCATCACTTAAAATGTTTTTGACATTTTTTAAGAAATTTATGTAAGTGCATACAAAAGGCCAAAAGGGTTATTCTTTAAACAATACATACAGAAAATGGGACAAAAGAAGACTTACCCTTCACCTAATGCATACTGAAAGGTTGACATGTAAGCAACTGCTGTTTCAACTGCATCTCCACCTGAAGATCCATTATATGTGTTATGTGAAGATGTTTCTTCTATGTTTCTGAACATTGTCTCAGCAAATAAGTCTTCCATGGAATCTTGAACTTTCATTGTGTCAAAATATCCATCTTCCCACATCAAAAGTCTAAAAAATGTAGACAAACATTGTATTATATTGATGAAAAAATAGTGTATACATTCACATGATCAAAACAACATAATGGTAGAATATGGGGATATTGTGAATTTGTGATTTAAATCGCCCATCAACACTTTCTTTGACTTTTCCTTTTTGAATTTTAGAAATAGTTGATGTGTTAAAAATGATTACAAAGATTAATATTAAAAGAATGATCCATTTTTTTATATGAATCAATTTAGGAGGCTGTTAACCTTGACTATGACAGGGGCCAAGATGTGTGATAAAAATAAGATATTTTTTTCTACGTGTCTGTACGAGTGTATGGACCAGTAAATCCAAAAAAGATGGTGGAATTTTGTTGTTATCAAAGAAACAAGTGGGTTGTCTCTTCTTTTGGGGGGTATTGTTGACCACAATACCCTTTCTAAATTAGCAAGTGATAGAAAGCTTTAACAAGTCATACGTGATATAGATGGAAGGATTTGGTTGGAAAGCAAAGCAATGAGTACAAAAGAAATCTCTAGAGACCAAAAGTGCAGCTTATCAACTACTATAGGGACCACTTTTGATTCACTCAATAATATCAATATATAATCACATCTCCACCCCTACCCCATAACACAAGAAAAGATTTTAATTTTTTTAAAAGTCAATGAGATTTGGCTTCTGGGGTAGGCGTATGGATTATTCATTATTTTGTTATAAACTTATAATAATATATACTCTACTTCTAACTTGTAATTGAACAAGGAACCATTTCAAAGTTCAAACATATAAAATGAAAGAAGAGAGGTTCATAAATCAAGATAGAATATAGATACAGCTAAGAACTTTCTGATTCATATATGGAAAGAGGAAAAGAAGGACATACATTTGGCTTTGTTGCTGAAGCCTCCAAAATACAGCATAATTCCAGCAAGAATTGTTGCAAAGACTCTGTAGGAACCTCCTTAAAGGTGTAGTCCCCATATCTTATTTCTTCAATATATATTATAAACTCACCCAATACAGCAAAGATTAACTTGGATCAAAATAATCTAAAAGAACAATTACAGCTAACTACCCCGATATGAACCTCTCCCTGCTTGTTTAATCCGCAAACCAGACCGTTTTTTTATTGGAGGCCCTGAGGAAACCATTAAGACACAGCGCATATCTGATAAAAGACCTTTCAGTTTTGCTCTCTTTCTTAAGAATCTAATTCAGAGATTGTCACCAAGAACCGATATCAGATTTTCTGTCACAAGATGAGATGATGTTGAAGAAATAAGCAGTCAATTTGATTTGAAGCTCAGTTGACAATGTTCGTTTGGATTTACAGAAAACAACAATCTAAAGAGGACAATGTCCTTTTCAATCGATTTCTCTAAAGAGTATATACCCCAGAAAAGAGCCCACTTCAAGGTCGAACTTTATGATATTAAAATGAACAGGCAAACCTGCAGCCACAAGATTATGAATCAGATTAAGTAGTGAAGTAAGATGCTGCAATCTGAAAGATCCTAATGATAAAAATAAATAAATCACGGTAGAAAATCTCAAAATAGCGATTCGAAGTGATATACACATCAATGAACATAGAAGTTTCATTTTAAGTTTTCGTCGAGCTGTTCTTTGCGCTTTTTATACAAACTAGATGAAACAATTGAACTAATATAATGAAGAACATAACGAATTAACCCTAAATTATTGCGAGCATGAACGAGTATCAGCATTTATTTAGTCTCTCTGGTGCGCCTGATAACTCCTAGCAAACCATACAGCTCAAAAGAAAAAAAAAAATGTGAAGAAGATGACAAAGAACGTACCAGCGGATTTAAGAGGAATCAACTGTAGATTCAAAGAGAGAGATGATTATAAAGCTCGAATTCGTTTGCCTCCATATCTCTGGTAGTATTCAAACACAACATGAACACAATGCAAGCGATATCGAGAGAGAGAAAAAAGAGAGCACGATGAAAGAGAAAGATGAACAGGGTTTAGGTGAGGAAAGTGTTATATATGACGTGGGGCGGCTTCCATCTTTAAGACTGATGAGTGCTTGTCGGATCTGCAATTTTGTCAAACAAATGAGCTTGTCTTTTTCTTTGGTCTTTTTTTTTTTTTTAGTTTGTCAAAGTTAAATTATTTAATTTTTATTATGCACATTACACATTATGTTAATTATAATTTTTAAAACAGATTCATCAAATAAAATATGATGATTTGGTATTATTTTATGGGTAATTCACTAAAATATCATGTATTTAGAAGGTACTCCCTCCGTCCCAAAATTATAGTCTATCTTTCCTTTTTGGTTTGTTCCAAAATAATAGTCAACTTCTAAAAATAAATAAAATTTTTACCAAAATACCCCCTCATTATTACTTAATCAACTAAACATTTAATGGAACATTAAATGCAAAGTAAGGACAAAACTGTCATTTTATTATATAAAGTTAGTGATAATTAATGTTTCTTTAATTTGTGTGTTTTTTGTCTGTGGACAATAATTTTGGGACGGATGGAGTATTATCTTACCATGCAACCAAATTTTTTTAGACTTCAAATATTGAATCCGAAAATCTATGGAATACTAACATGATTCCTCACAAAAGCTCAACCAATTTTCCTTATATTCTCTTCTTTTCTCTCAATGCCTCAAGGACATCATAACAAAGAACAAATGACTTAATGAGTTATTCTTTTGAAATGATCACACTGGAATTAAGAGATTTTTCCTACCATTTTGTAGTTCATGTCTTTTATTTAAGAATCACTAAGTAATTTCATTTAGATAGATCCCGCAAACTATAATTAGTTAAACTTAACTCTTTTATAAGAATTGGTAATCAAAACAACCCACAAAATTCTTGCGTTCGTAACAATTACGATTTGAGTATTAAATTAGCAATGTAGTTTGACTTTTCCAATATCCCTTACTATGGAAAGTTTCTATCTTGTATCAACATCTTCGTTAATTCTATTACACCCGGTTTAACAATTAATTCTAAAAGTGACAGTTTTCACACTTTGGGGCCAAAACCGTCTAACCCAAATCACAAGTATTACAAAAATTAAAGATGAGATATATAGGCACATGACTAGTCTTTTGAAAGGATTTCTTTTGTTGATTATGGAGTCTAATATGTGATTTGATCTCATTGGCACTATTGAGACTTAACAATGAGGAAAGTGGGTGAGGTTAAAGGGGTGCCACCCTTGCGAAGACCTAAGAATAAAATTTTGAAGATGTCTGCACAGTGGCAAATCTAGAATAAAAAACCATGTGGTTTCTTATGTAATTATAATGAAAAAATATGAGTAAAAGATACTAGTGCGGGTCGAATCGTATGCCCAAAAACATTTAAACATAATTTCAGTAGTTATAATAAAGCTCTTACAAATGGACCTGGTCAAGGTGCATAGGCTAGAGGAGACGTCGCAGTGTCGCACGCGGATCAAGCCTTCATCGTTAGTCGTTTTTGTTTCCTATTTCTGTTTTTTTATATATAAAAAATGGATTTGGGTATTGCATTTTAAATGGACTAAAGCATTGAGCTATTTCAAGTAGATTGAAAAAAAAATATATAGGCTCATACATTTTGATATATATATATATATATATATATATATATATA